TGTGTGTGCATTTCTTCTCCAGGGATGACTTTGCTCTTGCTGAAGGGTTAAGCTGCAGGAAGATTATCATGTTACCTAAGGACTTAGGTTGATCCACCTGCACCCACAACTTTATTCATCCACAACCCGATTGTAGATGTCGGTACATGCTATATAATATTACATTACACCACCTTTTGTGGTCCAATCTAGTTATTATGCCTGACTGAGGTGCTGAGTAAATGGGGATGACAAGGCCCGAGCAGTTAAATGATACTGGACTAACTAATTACAATGATTGTCTTTATAAAATACATGATTTTTTTTATGACACCAAGTAAAATATAACGCATTTTAAATTCATTATGAATGAAATGTTATGTTCCGTGCTCAGCCAGAGTTGGTCATCTGTCTTCAGTCATGCGTCAAATACAATAAATACCATCGTAGTACACCAGCATTCGTACACTTTGACAGATTTTGTTGAATGTGTTTGAGGTCGATGGTGCTCTCATGTGAATGCTTGGCGATTCATCCCTCCATGTGTTTCATTCATGTTAACAGTTTCATGCTCTCTGCTTTTTGGCTCAGCGTGGATCCGTTTGGCTTTCAGCGCTCAAAGCACTTTGACTACGAGGCCTACGAGGAGCTCATGTCTGAGTATCTGGTTGTGCTCACCCGGCGATCCATCAAGTGGTCCAAGCTACTGAAGGGCAAAAGCAAGGTGCAGAGGAATGTCAAACGTGAGTGTGAGAGCTGAACACACGCCGCTATCCTAGCAGAGTCATGACGCTGAACTAAACTGACATGTTCCTCCTCTCCATCAGTAAAGCGCTATGTGCGTAAGGGCATTCCCAATGAGCACCGGGCTCTGATCTGGATGGCAACCAGCGGGGCTCAAGACCAGCTAGAGAAGAACCCGGGACACTACCAGTCCCTGCTCGGAGCCCAGCACGACCCCAAACTGGTAGAGACCATCTGTACAGGTGAGGCCCTGAACCGTTGCTCATGTGCCCATATGTCCTTAAAGGCCCTGACACACACTAAGCCCACCTCAAAGAACCAGCCCTTCTGTTAGAGAACCAGTATCAGGGTATATAACAGTTTCTAATCCAAAAATCACCATGAACATACAAAACTAATAGGCCAATTATTGTCACTCCAATATCAATTTGATTAAAAAAAGTCTCATTATTGACCGTAAGGTTTTGTTTTTGACATCATGTGGTCTAAATTAGTAAAAAAAAATACCATTTCGTTTGAATACCCAGTCAGAGAATTCTTTCTCTCTGACTGCCTCTGAGGCTGATGCAGTCAGTTTGCTGATTCGGCTGAACGGGTGCCGATTTGTGCCGACTACAGCAAACAGTGTCAGCCACACCTGGCACACTGATTACCAACAGTTTGGTGGCCAAGGACTCTGGAAAGTTATCCCGGCCACAATTGTTCTATCCTCTGCCTCTGATTGTGAGGTAAACAACACTTTACCCTGGAGCTACCCGGGTCACGTTACAAAGTAAGACCAGAAATGTGTCCTTTCATGTATATAAGTACGTTTACCTCTGCACCACCCGTGGGCCCTCCATTTAGTATTTAATAGCTCTGGTAAAACAGGTCATATATTTGAGTGTGTGTGGGAAATGGTCAAATATCCAACGAAACAACACAATATACATTAAGACGTTTTGCTAGCTTTACCTGCACAAAACAACATGTAAAAAGGTTATTTAGCTCTTTCAGTTCGCATTTAGACATCATTTGAACCCAAGACTGATGTAGACTGTCTCGCTTCTTCTTTTAAACAAAGTTGCTGTCACGCACCCATAAACACACAAGTTTCTGTGTGCTCTTGTTCTTTCAGACTTGAACAGAACATTTCCAGACAACGTCCAGTTCCAAAAGACAGCCAACCCATGTCTGCAGAAAGCTCTGTACAATGTGCTGCTGGCTTATGGCCACCACAACCCAGCTGTGGGCTACTGTCAGGTAATACTACTGCCTAGATCCAGCCTGAAATATCATTTCCATAATACCCTCTTCCTACACATGTGACAAAGATTTCCAGTGCTGTATGACTTAACTTTACAGTGAAGGATTAGGTCCATTATCAGTGTGGATTATAGGAGGAAAAAACATGCAAAACTGACTTAAATATGTACTCTAATATTTATTAGCCACAGTAAAGAAGACAGTGTATATTTGAGTGGGTGTAATCATCCTGAAGAGTCTTTTATATTAGTGACGCAACACGTATGTGTCTAAAGAAAGGCTGTTTGTGTCAGCATAGCCTACGTTAATCATTCGCATTTGAAAGGCAAATCTCATTCACCGGAGCGTTCGCGGGTCTGGTTTGCAATTCAAATAGGCAGCAGGGCCGTGTTGATGTTTCCATCTCTTATGAAGTATACCTAGAACCCATCAATCTGTAATCGCACGCATAGTGTTTCGGTTTGAGTGTTTTGTCTGTTTGTGTCATGTCCAGTGCACACTTGCTGCTCTTTGTCCGGGATGCTTCATTAACGAGCTCTACCCTCTCCTATAAAACCTGCTCGGACTGGATCACAAGATACATGCGTGACCCGAGTCTCTTTTGTCTTCAGGGGATGAACTTCATAGCTGGGTATCTACTGATCATCACAAAAGACGAAGAGAAGTCCTTCTGGCTGATGGACGCACTACTCGGTAGAATTCTACCAGGTGAGTGTGTGACTAGGTGTCGTCTGTTAACTCTGAGCTGATAGCAATACTGCAGGAGGCCTGCATCTCTCTGTGGCTTAAGACCTGCAGTATGTTTTCATGTGTGTCGTGCACTCACTCAAACGAGGAAATGTCACAATATAAATGTTGTGTGTGTGTGTGTGTGTGTGTGTGCGTGCGTGCGTGCGTGTGCGTGCGTGCGTGCGGTTACAGACTACTACTCTCCAGCCATGCTGGGGCTGAAGATGGACCAGGAGGTGTTGGGGGAACTGGTGAAAGTTAAAATCCCCGGAGTCTGGCAGACCATGACGGATCAAAATGTGATGTGGACCTTGGTGGTCTCCCGATGGTTCATCTGTCTCTTCATAGACGTCTTGCCGGTAGAGGTGAGGGCATCTGTGTGTGTTTCACAGTGCGGCCGGACATGATGGAAGTCCTGCCATTGTGACTGCACTGTATTTGTTATGTCTTTTATTTTGAGTCACAATTGCTTTCTACAAAGGTTTAGGAGAGCTTGCCGTGGCAGTTTCAGAGACAAGTTCTGGTTATTGGGATGCAGGACTTTATACAATATGAAATAGCAAAGTTATTGTAAACTTTGGTGTTTTGTTGTGTTAATGTGCTTCTAATTACTAAAACGCTCAAAGCTCTGTTAGAGCTTGAAACACTCTTCAGTAAATCCATGAGCTTTACTCAAGCGCTGCTTTTAGTGGATTCAAAAACAAATGTAAAAAAAATAAGCTTTTTGTTCTTCCAACGTGGAATGGCTAACCTCCCGCATAAACAGTCCTTGTTTATGCGGGACTGTTGTTGCTTAACTCCTTCTGTTGGCCGAGGTACGGGCGGGGACTGTTATGTTTGTTCTCCAAGTACACATGGAGAGCTTCACGAGGAGGGCGTGACACCTGCAGATGTTCATGATATTCCCTCAGCACACTGTGCGGCCAGCCACAAGGAGTTATTAGAGTTGCATTTTTTCTTTTTTTTCTTTCTTTCTTTATATATATATTTTACAGTACGTGGGTGGACCCAGTCACCATTGTATCACTAGATTTAATTAGTTAGAATCCTAGTCTTTGGATTGGCCGGATATCACTCTCGACACAGACGCTAGGTGGCGCTATAAAGGTGGTTTTCAATCCGCCACTAAACACTGCTCCACTACATCTCAGAGGTACATATTGTACTTTTACTCCACTACATCACAGAGGTACATATTGTACTTTTACTCCACTACATC